CGAAAAGGTTTGTCTTTTGCGTCGGGATGGGCCGGGGACACGCTGTCACCAATGCCCTGGCCCCTGGGCCCCTGGGCCCCGGGGACTGCTCGAAGTTCACCTAACGACCAATGACCAATGCCTATCACTCACTTCCATCAAACATGATCAATTCACCCGAAGCGCTGGCCGGCAAAAAACGCTGGCCGACGCTTCGAGAATCATCAACTTCCAGCGAGGCCAACGCCAACGTCGATTTGGCACCCTGACCATGGCGTCCTTTGCGGAACGCTAGGGGGTTGATTTGGTACATATTCATACCATGTCATACCATGTTATACCTATCCCAAACAGTCCATGCATCGCCTACATGACCCCTGAAACCACGCCCATGCAATAGATGTCTCGGAAGTTGACCTCTGAAGAGGTGCCTCCCTGGAAGTCCTTGAAGCAACAGGCCACCGACGTGGCCCCGACCTTAATCTTGCGTGTGGCTTGTTCCTCCGGGTCCACCAAGGACTCCTGATCGATTCCCACCAGGGCGGCCAGGAAAGCTGCCAAAAACGGCCGGGCAAACAGGTCGATGTATATAACTTATCATAAGGACAGGCTAGTGAGGTTTGTGTGTATACATATAATCACGCTTCCAATTTCATGGGTGGGGATGTGCAGGGCAATTGCTACCAACAAGACAGCGGACCTTTTGAACCATGACATTCTTGCTTACTAAATCTTCCACCTCAATTTGCTCTCTACAACACCTGAAAAAAAAGAAACACACACACCCATACAATCCTCAAACATAGGCCGCTACAAAATGACAGTGACTACAAGATGCAAAAACAATCTCCTGATTAGGGTCACTATTGAAACTTGACATCATTTTGTAGTGAACATATCATTGCCCACATGATTGGGTGTGAAAACTCAAGTCTCAAATGTTGCAGAACCTTGGTAAGATGAGAAGAGCCGAGCTTGGTCAAGAACTCTGGCCACCAATGCACTACTGCAAAAGAACAGGTTCGCTGACACATGCTGCAACAAATGCCGAGGTAGGGTAGTCATAAGGTAGTCAGCAATCGTTCATACCAAAACCTTTCTCCACACTGGGCGCAGCAAATGTAATAACCAGTTTCGAGAAAGAATGTAGGTGAACCTCCCACCTTCCAAAACGTGCCCGTTGGACCCTTACAGGATGTTTCCGGGCACACCCTCAAACCGGAGAGGGCCTTGGGTGCGGCAAATCCCTTTGCTCCAACTACAATGAACACATTTTACTGTATTTTACTGTATGTTTTTTTGATCAAAAAGGACCTCCCAACTGTCCATAGTCAGTCTTCAAGGGAGAAATCTATCTGGTCTGTTCAGAGGTCTGTTTGCGTGCTTTGGCAGGTCATCGGTCATCTAATGAACCAGCTGGAAGTTGCTGAAGAATTGCCTGAAGATCTTCACCAGGTGCGTTTTGGCCCACAACTAAACAAACACATCTTCTAGGCTTTCCCGGTCAGCCACCCGGTCCGTCACCACGAAACCCCTCTCCTGGGCTTCGCTGATCAGCGAGCTGATGGTGGGGTCAGCAGCCAGGCTTTCCACCAAGCTCTCCCCTAAGCTGCCAAATGTGGAAGTCATGCGCTTCTGCATCTCCTGAAGGGCGAAGGGTTTTTTTTGAGAAAGTGGATCATGAAGAGCGAAGGGTTCCCCGCCCTATTCATGCCACCCATGGACTGCCAGATCGACGCGAGACAGCAGAGTCAAACACGCAGAACGTATACATATATATATATATAATAGCAACTAACGTGTATATACATTATGCATTGGATTAAGCAACTCAAAGCCATTTCTGTCTAGCGAAACAAATGCGTCAAATGCAATTATTCCACACTTACATATATACCTTGTGCCTCCAAACACGACAAAAACGTAGGGTTCATCCCAAAACACGAGGTTTCCCATTTTGGTGGTTCAGATGCTCAGGGTATATACATATACTATACGACGTCTTCTGTTTCGGTCAACCCACTTCCCCCCCAGGGTCCCGGAATGTCGGATGCGTTGGACAGGTCACCAGTTCCGCCGGTCCATCGCCGGTCCATCCGGGTTCCGGAGGACAGCACGTTCCAACAGCACCGAACGGATCCGGACGTTCCCCCCAGCATTCTGCCCTGATGAACCGGCCTATGATCCTGCCGAACCGGTCACCGGTTTCCAGCACTTGGGTGCCCGGTTTCTTGGTTCATCCAACGCTGGAGTATCCAGCTCTGCCGGACTTCCATTACCAATTGTTGGATCTGAATTCCATCCATGGGAAGCTTCTTTGGAGTCTTCCGCTCAGATTTGGAGAAAAACTACCTAAAAAGGCCTCCTCTCTCTGGACTTCCTGTGGCCAGCCCATCCGCTGCATGGCATGCCCCTCCCCTCCCCGACCCTCGACGACCGAGCCACGGAGGCGACCTCCGTCTCCGTGCCGTCGGGGCTCGTGGGACTCGGTGAGCGCGTGCCCGTGCGTGGCGCGGCGAGGTGAGCGCGGTGAGCGAGTGGCGCGGTGAGCGGGGTGAGTGAGTGGAGCCGGTTTTCAGTGGGTTTTTGGGTCTGGAGGGGTCGGACCATCCTCTGGAGGGGTCTGGGTGTCTGGGGTCTCCGGTTTGGAGCGTCTGGGAAGATTCTCTCCAAACATGATTGGAAGTGAAGTGGACAAGCGCAATAATGAGAAACTGCTGAAGGTCCATTGATGTTCATGGTCGTATCTGCTCAAACAAGACACCCCAAGAACAATCGCAGTCTTGAGTCTACTACTTACTGAATCTTGCTGACTATGATCTACTGGCAACTGGTCTCTATGAATTTGGATGGTCTTCCAGCCACCTGCTTGAGCACCGAATCCCCAAATCCCCCCAAGTTCCCCAGCACTGAACCCACCAGGAGTGTCCACGCCATCAGGATGGTCAGGGGCCTTCCCTAGACTTCCAAGACCATTGAGCAACTGGTTGAACGGGCTTTGTAGCATCAAATCATAAACCAGTAGTAAAACAATGGTGTTCGGTCACACCGGTCACCCTTATGGAACCCACATGCATGAATCAAATGGTGGTAGGACAAATAGACCACCCTCACGACCACCACACACAGATTGCACAGATTGCACGGGTGCCAGGGGGCCAGTGACATCCACCGAATACAATTCCCATCAGTCTCAGAGAATCATCCTTGAAAACCTGCTCTTGTACAGTATTATGCTCGTGTTCGCCAGTTCCACTACTACTTACTAAAGAATTAAAGGTAGACTTATACATTCACCACTGAAGGCCCTTTGCTGAAATGGTCATGCATTCATGCAGCAGCTGCAGCTGCTGCAGTCGTCATTGCCTTAGTAATTGCACAATCATTGTACATCCGTGGACCTCATTGAACATCAATGTAGACTCTTGATTTAAAAGCCTCCATGTGAAGAGGCCTTTTAAATACCACTGAGGGTGGGTGTATGAATCAAGAGTCTACATTATGGCCTGGGAATGGCCACATGATGTGTGTTGCACATCTATATAGTCAAATTCGTGACCTCCCAGGTCACCACCACCAAGCCTGCTGTGGAACAAAATATCCTTGGCGTCAAGGCACACCGGCGGCATTTCTTCAGTCGGGTGAACCTCACAGGAGACATCCACCTGAGGCACGCGCATCACATGAGACGATCTGTTGAGTGTCCGCACTACACAACGTACAGTCTTTAACAGTCCGGGCATCGCTACTAGTAGCTAGTGGCTCCTGGCAGTACTACTGGGAGCAAATAGCTACTAGTAACAAAGGGCACCGCTACTAGTTTCACAGCAAATGGCACAGACTCTATGATGTCCCCTAGGCCCTAGGATGGGGCCACCTCTTGGGGTCTGTGCCATTGGTCCTCTCAATCCACTAGAAGTACTTTGGCTTCCAGGCCGGTGTTCCACAAAAAAGTGTTTGGTGGGAGGATCATAGCTGCGCCAGGTGCGGTGCAACGGCTGTGACACGACTTTCCAGGCGACTTTCCCGGCGAAATGGGGCCCAACCAGTGTTTCAGGAACGACCAGCCCAGGATTCCTTCTTTTGCACACCTTTGCTCATGGTGAGAGCCACTGCCCTGGTCAAACATCCCAAAAACAGCTCGAACACTGGGTCTACAGGTCTACAAAAGAGCCGTTTTTTTGCTGCGGCTCAGTATGGAACGTATGCCAGCGACCCAGCATGGAACCAAGATCCTTTAGACTGGAAACATTCATGTTCAGCAGGTCTCGTACCGTAGCGAGTAATCCAACAAACAACACCCTGACCCTACCTGGACCATCCAATCTGGGTGCCCAATGGACACCTCTAAGTAGTGTAGGGTAGTCCAGCCAGGACACCCAGACTGGATGGTCCTGGTATGGTCCTGGCCCTGGTGCGATTGGCGACTTTGAGCCCGGTCCTGCAAGTCTTGCCAGCGGATGATGAGCAACCGCCGTGACCACTAACTGTGATAGCTTCAGCCGCAAAGCAAAGCCATTTTCTAGCTATATAATTGCGAAAGCCCTCCCAACCAGGTTTTAGTGAATCTTTTTCCTTTTGCTAGCTAAAGAGGTGGCCAAGCTGAGGGTTTCTCTGTTACACACAGCGAATGGGACACGGAGATCCCTTCGCCCATCGACCTCCTCTTCTCTCCAGCCTCTTCTTCGCGCTCTTCCTGCTCCACTTCCTCCTCCTCTTCGCCGAACTCCGACTCCACCGGTTCCTCGGGCAGCGGTGCCTGGCCACGCGCTTCCGCGCGCGCCCGAGGAAGCGCTGGTAGACGCTTCGCTGCGTATGACCCTGGAGGTCTATGGACCTTGGAGCGAGAACCCATCTGACAAGGCCAAGGCGTAAGAATTCTATGAGATAGACCAGTCTCACTCACCCTAGGGATCCAAGTACCTTCTCAGGTACGGTGATTGGAGGCACTGTTATGTAGGTGCCAGGAGGGTCCAAGTACCTTCTGAGGTTCGGTACGACTGGATCCCTATGGTCAGGTTCTACTTCGCTTCACTTCTCACAAGGCCGAACGTCCCGGCCTCTGGGCGGATCTCCTCTGGGAGCTCCGTCTGGCCATGACCCCAAGAACCACCAGACCAGGCAGTGCCGTTGTACAGGAAGGCCACGGTGAAGTTGGACCCGGCAGCCACCGCCTCGGCAGGGGCAGGAGGCCAGTCAGTGGAACTGGAGGCGAAGCCAAACATGCTTTGTAATCAGTTGGGGGGGGAGGTCTTTTGGAACTCTGTGAGGTGAAGCTACTGCCAGCCTGGGTTGGCCAGGGTCTGGGTTGGCCAGGTTGGCTGCACAAACCATGGATGTAGAAGAGTAGAAGTTGGGTAAATTAAGTACGGAACCCAAAAAAGGTCCCGGGTCCCCTGGTCTCATATGGAGCTGACTCCTTCAATGGAAACCTCCAGAAGCCACGGCATGATGTCTTCACATCGCCAAAGCGAGGCCACCGATGAGCTGGGGTGTTTGTGATGCTACGCATTCACATCCCAAACCGCTTGGTGGTTATTCTAAAGAATACAGTATCCAGTCAGCATCGGGTGCTTTCAGAAGGCCAAGTGTCAAGCCACCAAGTGACTGGTGCGGAGCCTGCCTACACTACGACCTGTGCTTCCATTCAGGGCACCTCCTTGTAGGTCTGTTCCCACCGTGCCTCACCACGAAACATCACACCACGCTGTTCCATTCGCCACCCGCGGAATGGAACAGCCACGAAGAGGTATATACCACCAGACTAGGTCAAATCCGGGTGGTTCGATATGATGGTACGTTCTTCTTATCATGTTTACATCACTTAAAGAATATAACTGGTAGTCACCACTGGCTGCCAGCTCACCAGTGGAGGTTGCCAGCTCACCAATGGAAGTTAGTTCTTCCGGAAGTTGACCCGGCGAGCCGTCCGACTGCAGGGCAAAGGCACGATGACATGCTCCACATCACTCGGCACGCTGCACTGGCCTCGGAAGCAAAGGAAACGGAATGGACATCGGTTGAACCACATGTCCTCTATTTACAGTGAACATTGCCAGCGGGGTTGACAAACACATGAAAAACGGTCCGGAAATGCGCCATCTCCGGTCCCTGAGCTCCCAGAAGTGCGAGCCGTCTTTGGGGGGTTGTGGCATTGACATGTTCAAGTTCAAGCGTGTCAACTAGCATCCCCACCAAAAAGCCAAGCAACATATGTTTTTCAAGGTTGCTTTTGACTTCACCCCTCTGATGTTCAGTCCTCCAGATACGTTCTCCCATCTTGTCCCTGTGCTTCCCTCCTCCACCCATCCCACCCCGCGTTTCTCCTCCTGTTTCTTTTTTCACTATGACTATGACCGTGGTCCGAAGCGCCGTGGTCGTTGGAGCCGAAGCAATGGAGTTTCCCATCAGCCGTGATCGCACAGGTGTGGAAGTCACCGGCCGCCACACGCCTCGCCACACGCAGCCCGCGGGGGTCGGTCGTTGTCGGACGTCCATGAGGCCAAAAGCCCAAAGAAAGCCAGACCGACCGTCGAATGACAGCTGATGCATAGGTGGAACATGGGCATACATTCCGTGTCTCCAGAGACTTCCAGTTCATTCGAATGGTCCAGGGATGGTTCGCGAATCTGCAGTACCTGGCACAATACGGGGTGTGACCCCATTCAAGGGTATTCCAAGTGACATGGGCACACACATGGGTGAAGGTGCATCGGTACATGTCCATGACTGCAGGCCCAAGCTGGAGGGTCGGGAACTGCCAGGTTCTCAGGGTCATCCGTTGGTCCTTCTTGCTTCCCTTCCCGGGTGACGGGACGGATCCGGCTGCGGCTCAAGGGATGGAGTTGCAGAAAACACCGCCACGGGAGTCGAAAAAAAAAAAAAAACGAGGTCAGCTGGCATGACCTGATCATCCTGAATCTACTAAGAAGTCATGGAGACCTGGTCCTGATGGGGGTAAGGGATCAAAATAAAAACAAAATATAGAATCAAAAAAAAAGATCAACGGGGATCAATAAAAAATAAAAAGGTAATCAAAAAAGTAATATTCTAGCCCACTGAGGATGGTTGGGGTAGTAGTAGTAGCAGTAGCAGTAGGAGCAACAGCACCAGCGTAGCAGTAGCAGTAGCAGCAGCAGGGGATAAACAAATGATCAAAACAAACAATGCCCTCAAAACCATGGACATGCTATGATTGGCGTGTCTGCGCCAACATCACATTAGCAGACGAAGTCAACAGAAAAGAACAGGATCCAAACAATTACCTCACGATGCTAGACTACAATTTCTGTAAGACAGTTGTCTCTGAGTGGACCACTAGGAGACGAAGGGAAGAGGATGGAAGAAGTAGGGGACTAGGAGAGTGTACCTCCCCAGGAGCTCCCTCCTAGTAGGGAGCTATTTCCACTGGTGAACCATTTTTCGAGTAGGGCTACTCAATGACTGGACGGCTACCTTATCGTTGAGTACCTACTTTCTTCCCAGGGAGGGCAAAAGACCAGCGGACCAGGACTAGGGGACCAGTGGACTAAAGGACCAAGGGACCAGGGGACCAAAGGACCAGTGGACCAAGGGACCACATTACCAGAGGACCCGCAGACCACAAGGCCAGGAGAGCAGCAGAAGAGGCCTATCAAGGAATATGTTTTTTTTGATGCGTTTTTGTTTTTTTTTTTAATGCTCTTTTTATTTTTTGATACCTATGCCTCCTGATGGGCCGTCCGATGACCGAAATCACCCACCATGATCAACTCCATCTCATACAGAATTAGCCGATCTATTGTTTTGTGGCCCCGGGCACTGGCTGAAATGACGGTATCTCAGGGGGCCTGGCCCCACCCCGTCTTCGCCGTCCTCCTGTTTGACGGCTCTGGACGCAACTCCCAACCCTGCGCCATGTGACCGGCCCCCATAACAACGGCCCCGGCCTCACTTTGTCCAAGGAGCGCGGCACAGAACATTGGCCTCTGCCTGTCCCCACGGGTCCCGACGTCCCGGTGCTGCCGAGCCTGGACTCTCGGAGGGGTTCCGAAGAGCCGCGCGGGCGCTTCACCGGCTGGGACCATGCAGCATGGCGGGTGTCCATGAGTCCCAGCCGGTGCAACTCCATGAGTCTCATCGATAGATCCCTCGCAACCACTCAGAGCTGTAGCGAGCTCCATCCCCACTACTTGCAGCATCTTGTAGCGTAGAAACATGCTATCAAACTCTCTAGAGATGATCTCTAAATGTATTTATACACGTCTCTTACTACGCACACCCTCTTCTACATAACCTGTCCTTCTACGCTCCCGGACCATCCGTCGTCTAGTTTTTGCTTAGAGGCTTAGTTTCATCGCCAAACACATGCTGTGGAAGGGGATCTTTGTTGTTTTGCAAGGCAACAGAAGACCAATGACCAACAACCGCAAGAAACAGGGACAGGGACAATTAATCTCCCTCATAGCATCGATGAAGGCTTGTTGTGAAACTCTACAAGATCTATATAAATCTATATATATATTATTTATAGATCTATATTATATCTCAATATGTATAGCCGAGCCTCTCATCCCGGAGTCACTCCCAGGATCACTTGCTTCATCACCGACTCGACTCTCGACCGACTCGCGAGATCAGTGACACGTGTTGAACACGGATGGCATGGCCGTGGGCCCGAAGACTTGGATGACGTCCCTCTAACAGGTGGTGCCATCCTCTTCCATCCCTTTTTGGGGATCCAGTCGTACCGAACCTCAGGGTACGGTGATGTGTGGCCCAAAAACTCGGGTCCAGTCGTATAACTTCGAAGATACGATCGGATCCTGAGAAGCTGGTGCCCTCGGTGGAGAGCACACCGAGCACTCTCCCAGTCGGGAATGAGTTGGGATGAGCCCGTTCTATCCAACCAAAAGGTTCATATCCACTGACTGGGTAGGAAATCATACTATATGTCAAGTATTGTCAATTCATGTCATAAACTCATATGGACACTTCCGGAGACGCACTTCTGAGAAGGCACAAAGAATGTGAACTGGTGGTTTTGGAGGGTCAAACTGCCTTCGGCATACCTTCGGCTTGGACGGACCGTTATTCACATGGAATTCATGTCAGCTGCTATTCTGAAGGCGAAGCCTGAAGAAGGACCCTTGCCTTGGCCTGGGTCTGCAACTGTTCCCCTACAATCCCCTACCATGCTTGTCCAATGCGTGGTCGCTAAGCTGCACTTGACGAGCAACACTTCCCAAGCCGCGGCCCTCCATCTCCAAGGGGCTGTTGTCCCCCCCAGCACAGCAGCGCTCCCTGCGCAGTCACGGCACAGCTGTGTCGGAAGCCAGCGGCGAGTGCGACCACTGTGGTAGAGGCCAACTCGATGGGCATTTGGCCTTAGCGGACTGGACATCTGGTTGGTCAACCCCAAAAAAGAGATACTACACTGCAAATTGGGAAACACCAACTTTGGTTAATTGGGCATACCAAGCACTTGATGTTACAAAATCCATTGTTTGGACACTGAAATGCCCAGACACGACTAATGGGACTGTCATATTGACCGATCAGGCCAGGGGTGGTGCTGCCAGAGTGGTGTGTCTGGGGCGGCAGTCCGACATGGCAGTCCCCAAACGGGTCGCGTCTGGATCCACAGTCCGCCTCGGTTGACCGGATGTCGCGTGGCCCGTTTTCCACGGATCACGTCGCGAGACGTGCGCGGGTCTTTGATCCGGGTCACAGGAGTGGCTTTGACGGAAGGAAGGAGACGTACTTTCGAAGCAAAGGCCCTCCAACAAAGGTTGAAGGACCCGAACTAGACCATCCCGTACCCCAGGTGACGGGTCCTATTTACGCGTCACTTCACCTCTCTTGGCTGGAGGACCACTCACTGACTAGGGAATTTCCACCTCACAGCATCAGGAGACCCATTCCTCCCCAAATAAGTGATCCTGGCGACATTGACCGTAGAGGTTGTCTCCAAAGCAATGGAGCTGGCCTGGACCCGGAACGACGCACGATCCAGAACGACGGCGTGGTGGTCGGCCACCTGGCCACTCCAAGGGAGGTAGCCAGTGACCGTAAATAGGACCCGTCACCTGGGGTACCTATGGGATAGTCTATAGGGTTCTTCAACCTCTGCTGGGAGCTCTGGTGGATGAGTTTGCTTCAACCAAGCCATTTAAATTACAAGAGCCCCAAGACTGAGTCTTCTCACCCAGGTGTTTCTGTTGCCAACGGACACGTCGAACCATACCGGCACAACGCGTTTTTTCCAACGCGATTCCGGTCGAAGGTCGGCCAGGAAACGGGCAGACGCCACAAAGATAGGCAAACACCATGATTTGCAAATAGAGTTCGTCCATTTCGATCCCAAATCAATGCACATGTGAGTTTTTCCCAATATGGGAATAGCATATATGGGATCTTCCAACTAGACAAGTCATGTCTGCCTTCTGACTCTGACTAGGCAGAACATGGGGCGAAGAGGACGCCGGCCCGGTGGGGTGCCGGGTATGGGTGATCGGTGGGCACGGCCGTGTTGGGCCCTCGTGCCTGCTTTGTGCCGCTGCTTGTGCTTTTCTAACGGCAGACTCCAAAGAACACGCTGCTCTGAAAAAACACAAAGGCTAAAATAGGGCTAAACTAATATACTAACCAATCAGTCCCGAAAAATGTCCATTCTCTATATATGCATGACGTCCATCTCTGACCACTTTCTTTGCCATACTCATCTTGCGAATCCCTGGGTAGTGCATGACCTGTAGCCTATCCGCACAGCACAGTTTCGCGCGCGAATAAACCACGCGCCTTGAGCATCCAACACACAGGTGTGGCCAAAGCCACAAGCCATCGCTGAAATGCCCCGCACATGCGGCGGAACCGCACATTGACCGAAACCTGGTGCCATGCGGGCTCGGATGGAATGGGGCTGCATCCCCCCCGAAATACCAGGTCAGTTTGGCCTCATGATACTGGATTCAAAAAAAAACGAGTCAATGGGGTACAGGACCAGGTTTTGCTGGTTGAGACTGGAGTGGGGACAGGATCCAAGAAGATCAAACAGCCACCGGCCCCTTCCCTCCTCCTTGTGTCCTTCACAACGGGTCTTGAAAGCTCTCCATAGGTTTGGGTCTGAGTGCCAGCCACTGCAGCAACCCCTTGACAGTGGATCACATCGGATGAAATAGACCCCATTTGGGCGGCCAAATTGGGCCAAGGAACTCTCGTCTCCGAAGCACACCACTTGCCCCGTCACGGTGGATGCACACGTGTGTAGATGGCCTGAGTCGAGGTGTAGGGTAGGTGGGCCTATGGATGAAGGATCAACACCCCCCTCAACAAAATCTACAGTACCTCTTCGGGAAGTCACAAAACAAACTTGGAGATATAGAGCCTCACGGAGGAGCTCTGGTCGAATCATATAAGTACTGGTGATGTGAGGTGTATTTGGAAAGTCTGGAATTGACTGGTCAGGCTTTTGAGAGAAACAGCTGTTGAACACATTCACACCCCCCGGTTCAACATGCAGCTGCGCCAATGCAGCGGTCTCCTTCATTCAAACTGTCTCGTGCTGCATTCCAGAACGAAGTCTTCTGCTGCACGATTGAAGACACCGAGATCTATCTATATGCAACAGGTCCAGTATACATGCAGGGCCGAAAAGAAGCGACAAACCCCTGTGCTCATGGATGGTATATCATGCTATAATGACAATATAAATCATATCCTCGAACTCAACAGATTCTGCACCCAAACTTAGGACCTTGGGGACCAAAACACTCGTCTGCCGACCAGCGGCCGCAGGCCACGGAGTGATAAGCCCTGTAGCCAGTGACACTGGCATGTGGCACGTCACACTGGCCACGCCCAGAGGTGCCAAAGCAAACCAAGCCTCGCATTCGCGGACGACGTGTGGGTGCCTATAAGTGTCCTTCTTGCAAAATCGGAGAAGAACACGAAAGGAATAGAAAGGACATAGGCCTGGGAGTTGAAAGGATCTTAAGGACCTCAATTGGATATCGCAACATCCAAATCAGTTCTATCTCTGACTCTATGAGTCGATCGTTCAATGAGTCGAAAGGCCACAGCTCATATCACAGCTCCGCCGCAGAAAGGGCATCGAGCACCCCATGACCCAAAGCCCCCTGGGGCACCTGATCATTGAAACAGAAAGTCAAGCCTGGAGCAGAATGTTGCTGCCAATTCCTCCCGTTCTGGATTCTGTCTGAGAGTTTTGCACCACTCTTTTCCAGCGGATTCCGCATGTTTTGGGCCACCAGTGGCACCCGCAGATTCTGAGCGCTCGTCCCATGGTGTCCCTCCCTCCGATGGGGCAAGGATCACTCCTAGGCCTTCTCTTCCCCACGGCCGACCGGCCTCCATCTTTGGTGACCACGGCGCTATGTCGGAATCCTGCTCATCCCAAACGACCCGCCGAATCGGCGTGCGTGCTGTGTCAGAGCGTTCAGCTGAAGGCTTTGCAGCCTTCTCTCTCCCAAAGGCTCCATGGTACGGAAAAGAAGTTATGTCATTATGGAACTCTTCCATATGCCATATGGATAGTCTGCGCTTGGGTGTTCAAACATGGGATCTTGTGGGTCTTTGGGACAGAACAAAAACCATGTGTGTTGATGAACGGAATACAACGGGAGTGGCGGTGCCATTTTCTCCTACCCCATGCTCGCTCGCGCCGGTAGGTTCCAACCAGCGCAGCCTGCGCCGACAAAGCCATTGCAGGCGTTCGCCGCCCCCATGGCCTTGGCCAAAATCTGCTCCTGGTGCGGCCACGTCTTCCGCGTGAGCTGAGGGGGGACTCCTCCCAAATCCTGGTTGGCCACAAAGAAGGACAACAATATATAATTATGAACATAGCAGGGGCCAGCAGGGGTTGGGAGAATTCCGGTAGCTTCGAAAGATACCCCATCATATGCATTCATCAGCCCCCAGCACAGTCGGTCCCACACCCGATACCCCATCATAAGCTTGGTGCTCAGGTCACCTCCACTGTACATCACTGAGGAGCTGCGTTGAGTTCTGACCAGTCCGAGCGAGCGGATCGCAGCCTGTGGATGCCATCCCACCCGGGGCGAGCCTGTCCACGGTGTCCACAAGACATGAAGACATTTTCAGAACATCAACACACACATAACAACCATTTGACAAACAAACCCTTTAAACAGGACTTGGCAAACGAGTCAATGGCTACTCAGGCACTACAGGGCAAATAAACCAATACGGGGGAACACCGGGAACATCAAAATGCAGGCTAAAAGTTGCCTCGCCAAGCATTCTCCTGACCGCTGAACGAGGAGAGCTTCGCAGTCCTTGAGTGCTAAGGTTTCTTTCAGCTGCTCTTGTGCCTCTTCCTGGTGCAAAGAGCAAAACACCACACCATTTGTGCCTCTCTTGGCATATGCCCCCCCGAACTCGCGGTTCAAATCCGTTCAAATCCCCAAGACTCGTTTCTTTTTGGCCAGTCCCTGTAAACCAACACTTGGGAAGACTGCGCGCCAGCCAAGAGCGCCTGCAGGGGGGTAGAGTCCCTAGAGTCGCGTTTCACATCATCGATGCCTGTGGCTTCCCTGGAAGATCACCGGCTAACCGGCGCTGTTCCCAAACTGTTCACCGGCTAAGCACGTTAACGTGGAGAAACATGGAAAAAGCCAATCCGCCTTTTTGGTGTTTGCCACGTTTCAACAGTTTGAGCAAGGATCAACGGCTTGAGGGATTTGGAACATGAAAGGGCCCCAACCGTCCTATCAAGTCGCGGCCAGTCCGACCAAGGCCCTTCTGGTGGAGACCTGTCTGGACTTGTGCCTGGTGAAGAATCATCCAGGTACAGTAGACTCGGGGTAGAGTCATCTCCACTGGACCTGAACCTAAATGTTGACCTTCATCTACGTCCCCCCCCAAAGCATCCCCAAACCTACCCACGTCCCCCCCAAGCATCGCAGGCAGCATCGCTCCCTTCCCTCGTCCGATTGCCCAACACCCTCCGGACCCGTCGCCTGCTGTCGCTTGAGCTCCGCCTTCCGCGCTTCCGCTTTTCGTTTGGCCTCCTGGTCGGCGCCACACCCGAGTCGTGACGTGGTGTGGCTGACATGGAGCTCTGGGCCCTGGGAGGTTCCGCTCTGCGCAGTTCCGCGAAAGGCGGAAAGGGGGGATGGTTGGACCCTTATTGTGTGAGCTTTGATGTCTGATGTGTCGGCCAGTCGACGAGGGTCACGATGGGATGGAAACCTTTCTAACATAGGACCAAGCACTTGAAGACTGCAATACCCTAGAAAAGTAATTATCTTTGACAATGATGTTTGAATATGTTTGGATGTTACATTGATGTTATATTGACAATTGGTTGTTCTATCTCCTTACTCACTTCGCAAACACCGTGGCGCCGACACCGCTCCCACCGCTCCCGGCTCCTCGGCCGCCTTCTTTTTCGAGGACTTTTTGGACTTAGACGGGCGACGGACGCTGCACGGGTCGATTAAGTGGCGAGGTCTGTGCTCTCTTAGCGCCCGGCTGGCTTGATAGTACTTTATAACGAGAGGGTTGCGAGACTCTTGATGGAGATGCTCCACGAGACACAAACACACAAAAGCTGATGATTCCTTTCAATACCGTCCGTCAACGGGCTCATTGAAACAATATCAGTATGCTAAGTGAGATGTTCCTGCAAAGGGCGATTAATGAAAGTGTTCCTGGCCTTTGCCTCAAGTCTTTCAGCTGTTGACCTTTAAGGGTGCTGCTACAGACCCATATTATACGTTCATCAAGTGTCAAGGTAGCATGTACAAAAATCAACCAACAGGCCTATTATACTCTACCGTTTCATGCTGTTCCATGTGCTGGAGAGCTCTTCTTACCATCTCGCGATGATGTTTTGCAACCTAGGCCCACCAAGAATGCACCCAAAACTCTAGAGAACAAACAAAAGGCACATGCACGCCAAACGATCAAACACGCCAACCCCCTCCAACACCCGACCATGTTTCCGAACCCCCAAAAAGACACACCAACGGTGCCACGAACCCGCCGACAGGCAGCGAAAAGCCGCCACTTGGGGTCTCGGACTGCGGTGGACTTGGGGCTCGCCTCACCCAACTCGGAGATCTCCTGTTTGGTCCGTGAAGGGTCCCCGGAAAGCGCCCGGATGTCCGGCTTGCGATCCGATCGCGAGAAAACGTTGGAGCGAGAAAGAGTTGGACGTTGGTCAAAAGCAGGGGGATGTCTCCGGGATGTGGTCGGTCAACCATGGTCAACCTGTTTGCTATTAGAGTTTAGGGCTCCGGGTTGTAGGCCTCCGCCAAATAAAGGCTTGAAGCCGAGTCTCGTACAAACGCAGGCAGGGGGGAGCTAGCCAATGCTCAATGACCCTAGGGTTGGAGAACCCTGTGGAGCAAGTCTAATGTAGACTCTTGATTAATAACCTGCCCCAATTGAATTGAAAAACCTCTTCATCAGGGGGTATTATTATCAAGAGTCTACATTACATTACCCAAACACTCCATGTATGTCATATTTACATATTGTTGCCTGGGTTGGCCTCTTTGTCTGTGGGGAGAGGGGAAGGGGCTGAAACTACTTGCAAATATATTGCACAGGTAGCTGTGGTCAGGCTGTAGTCTCAAAATAGTAAAGAAACCACTTGCAAAATAGATAGAAACCATTTGCAAGAAATAAGGACACTATTCCCAGAACCACGAGCTAAGCTAAGCTAGCTTGAAGTGGTCCTCAGTAGTAACAGTAGTGATGACAGTGGTTATCAGTGAAAATGGCATGAAAGACATTCGCCAGTGTCGACAAACAGGACAAAAGGTTCCAGAGCTACAGCACAGGCCCAGACTTCCTATTTTGCAGCCCCTCCGCAAGTCCAAGTTGGTAGACCAACTGTCCCAAATTTCCCGCTCTGGATCTGTCAAAGATCGTCAAGGGGACACGAAACATGAACAGCCTTTTTGGCATCTAGTCTAACTGTCTAACCTGCTTTAACTACAAAATCCGCAAAACTCAAGCTGCTCAAATGTAGCAGCATAGCTTGGCCGCATTGGCACAAGCTTCATTTCTTGATCTTCTTTCCTGATTTTGCTTTTGCTTCAGTGGTCTTCTCACTGGCCTTGGACGATGAGGGTGGCCTCTGTCGCTTCTTCTGAGCAGGGTCAACTGGTGGCTCAGCAGATTCATCAGGCTGCTTCCCACGCTTCCGGGTGCTCTTGGAAGCATTGTCTGGCTTCCCCTCAGGCTCCGCAGCAGGCTTTGAACCAGGCTTGGTCCTTGCAGCACGCTCCAAAATCAAGAAACCATCCGGCTCCTGTCAATTCCATTTGTTTGGTGTAGGTTAGTAAGAGTAAGTAGTAAGTAGTACTGTACTAGTACTATGTAAGACTATGTATATTATATACTGAATTCTGAGTTGAATCTCAAATCTCTGAGTGATTGGGGGTTGCCTTGGAAGCAGCAATAAAAAACTTGCCAACTCAAACAAGGAGTCTGCGAAGCAGTCAACTGCTCAAACTTGGACTTGAGCAGTGGCGGAAGGTCATTCTTTGACATTCCAAGCTTCTTGCTGAGGTAAGCCCCAACCCGGCGTGATGTCGTGAGCTTGTCCTCGTACTTGTCAGCATTGACAACAATCTCCATGGCCATCATGATGCCCACAACTGCTGCACTGGTGCCATTCAAATCCTGAAGAGCAGACAGAAGAATAATCAGAATCCAGAATCAAGAGTCAAAAGCCAACACGGCAATCAATTGAAGAAACACAGTAACAAGGACTCTGGTGTGACAGGTGTTTTGCCAGTTTGTGCCTCAATGCTTTGCATCAAGGACTGCAGCTCACCCACCACTTTCTCCAACTTCTCATCCGCCTTCAAGCTGGCCTTGCAGGCAACGATGCCTT